CGTCGTTTACTGGTGGCGAACTTGGAACTTGGAGTTTCCAAACCCCGAAGGCGTTGAAGGTCTTGACTATGAAGATTCGGCACAATCTTTTCTCAACACGACTTGGGACTCAGTAATTGTGGCCTTTGCCATGACCAAGGCGCTTGCCCTTGAAGCTGCCTTTGCCCTTGCCCGGCCGCCCATCACGCTGAGGGGCAGGTACGTCCCCGCTGAAGAAGCTGAGAGTTTCTTCATCACCATCCCGCGCAACTGAGTGCAGCCGGTCGACGACATTCTGGAGCATCTGTGCGTGCCCATCGTCTCGCTCTCGACGCAAAGCTCGCCCAAGGGCCCGTTGCACGGTCTGCGCCGGATTGAAGACTGGGTAGCCTCGATGTGCTGCCCGGCCACTGTTTGGTCCTGCGCGTGGTTGCAGCGACAGGCCCAAGCCATTGCAGTCAACGCCCGGAGGGTCATAGCCAGCTCGAAACCATTGCGACAGACTTTGGTGCTCAACAGGAGAAGGTCCCGTAGCATCGTCTCTGTAGATGTAACATGGCACCATGATGGTCTCATCCCTGCGCAGCGCCTGCAACATCTGCAAGGCTGCCAATCTGCGGTTGTTGCGAGAAACCAATCCCCACTGACCATCGGGCCCACAATGGAGGAAGACGTGCAGTGGATCCAGCTCTGAAGGTTGGACTTGTCCTTGAAAGAGCTGGAAATGAAGCTTGTAAATGGACTCCTGCGCATTCCCATGACCGTCACCGAAGGCAAAACTGGCGTTGACACTGCGGTGGGTGAACCGCAGCATTGCTGCCGGCAAACTTCGCTCTAGCGGAGGTTGACCTGTCACTGGAAGGACACCGTACATTGTCTCCAATTCGTCTTGGGACACATGACTAGATGTCACATGAGGTGCCACGTTGTCCAGCTCCTGCAGCTGCAACTCTGCTTTTTCAACCCTAGTCTTCAATTCCTTCAGCCTATGATGCAGCTCGCACGTTCTCATAAGTTCATCAACACACCGGTGCTCTCCAACAATGCAGGCCTGCGTACGCATGTCTTGCCTGACAATGTGGCCCGGCGAGGACCAGCTCTGTGGCAGAACTATGATTGCATGGCATGAGGACATTTGTTGTGACAGCCTTCACGCCACGCGTTCCAGGTGAGATTCCTCGCTGTAGCCAGGCGATAAGGTTCCTGATCTCACACGATCCATCTCAAGCTCAGTCGCCTTCAGATCAAGGTCATGCCATGTGGGAAACGTTTTCGGCATCTCTGCCTGCAGCACTGGCTCTTCTGCAATGTCAAGACGGGGCACAGGCTCCGCAGCACCGCCAAAGAAGGCATCGGCCCAGAAGCGGACAGCCCTCCGCCCCTGGTCAAGCACGGACCAGTAAAGCAGGACACCCACTTGGAGGTTCCTCAGAGATTGCTGCAGCTGCCCGCTAAAGAGGGTACTAGGCTGCAATGGGCGGTAAGCAAGTGGTGCCCATCTGCCACAAGGGCCATCTTTTTTCATGAAAGGTCCTGCGAGAAAGCTGGAGCCCATCCGGGCTTTGAATGCCAGTAGCATCAGCCCACAACTCCGTGTGGGCTTGCAGGACTTGCCCCGGGGACTCACCAATCAGCCGCAATCTCACAGGCGATGCGTGGCCAGGGACGTAATCGTCCGTGGCATCCACTGCAAAGAGCACTCTATGCTGCGCAGCGAATGTCTCAAGGACTGCAGTGGCTGTGTTGCTGCTGAGTTCCACTAGCACTTGTCGGGATTTGTAGTAGTGCAACCCAACTGCAGCGCACCATTCAGCTGCCACAGCGTTTGCATTCTCGAGCTGACGGTCTCCCTCAGGATGCTGTGGGCCAAGGCGGCTTCTGAGGGTTGGAGTCGTCCTTCGTGCAGAGAACTCCTCTGTGGACTTTTTTAGCCACTCTGCTACTCCGGCATCGACGGCCACGCAAATCCGGTTGATCTCCACTCCGAGCCGCGATAACTGCTCAAGTGCCCTTGCTGCCCAGCCCGCTCCCCAAACCGTGATGACGACAAAGGTCTCGCTGCTGTCTCCCACCATAGGCAGGTTCAGCTGGAAGTCTGTGTGAACAAACTTCAGCCTCCCCAGCTGGTCATGTCTCTCATCTCCCAGTCTCTCCGTCCACCGGGAGTCCACGGTGCGCCTCTAAGTATGCCTCATGTCTGGAAGCTCAACCCTCTCGATGCCAACCTCCATGTGCTGCACCCTTTTCATTGCGCGCACAATGCCACCGGTGTAGGCCATGACAAACGGGACGTCGAGGACCACTACCATCTTCAAACATGCTCGAGGCCTCTCAAAGCAGAGGTTCTCGTGTTGGTCGCCGAGCCTCCGAAGAGTCTCTTGCGTTTCTGCGCGCCGAGCTCTTCGTCGCTCCTTCCGGCTCCGATGACTCTTGACGTGAAGGCCAGCCTCAAGTCTTTCCTGAACTGCCGGGCAACTTGCAGCCCCAGCAAGTTGGGGTGCAAGTTGCGCCCTCAAGTCCTCCATGCTCTTTCCAGCGCGGACGTCTATACTGGCTGGAGCCACATTGACTATGCTGCATGTTTCTGAAACTGTCAGTCGGTGCTTTGGCACGTGCTTCATTCCTGACATGAGATGCTTGAGCCCGGAGGCTCCACGTGCGATGGCCCGGCTCGTAACTCACCCCACATGGTCCTGGCAACAGCTGACGTACAAAGGCTTTTCTGCGACGTGGAACTCAACACGGCCCCCTGTAGGACTACTGGCATCAACTCCGCCAACCTCATCTCAAAAGACACGTGCAAAAAGTCTTGCGCTTTGCCACAACAAGTCCTAGTCACATCTGTAATTTATCTCCGCCTTCACTTGGCCAGGCCAAGTCACCCTTTGTGAAGGAAGGAGACCCGCAACTTGAAAGCATGCCAAGTTAACTTCATAGGTAGGTGGTACACATCGGCGTTAACCGCCACAAGCAACCAAAGCATAACCGCACCAAGACATCCCACGACAGTGCACGCAGCTTGCAAGGTAGCATGCTCCATGGAGGAAGATGAATGTACAAAGCTTGCAATTAACCAATCTCCATGACAATTAACCAATCTCCATGACACTCATGCACCCATGCACCCTAACCCTCAGGCAAAACAACAACATCTGCGTCATGAAGCTCTGGCGCTTTGTGATCACAAGGTCCCTCTGCTAGTGCGCATGATGTTGTAGATGGCAGCGAGCATTGTGTCACTGCACATCATGTGCGTATTGTCCATAGCTCGACATGGTGCCTCACATGCACCAAGCAAGACAAAAGTTGCTGTGGTGTAGAGCAAGACCCACTTTGCGACATGCATACCAGTGAGACCCCCCTTGTTAATATCCAGAGTGACCTGCAAGGCATCCGCATATAATCCCGTTGCAACTAGGGCCCCTGGGGCAACTGATTCCGTCAGGGAGGAGCCCACTGCGCGGCTACTAGCTGCGAACTGCTCCTTCGGCAAGGAGGTGTGGCTACTTGGCTACGTGCAGTCGCTGGACGAACGCGCGGCTACCTGATGTCCCAGACCGATCTAGACTCAGGAACCTAGACGGACACTTAAAACACATGGGGAAAACGTACAGTACTTGCCAATCTTTACGGGTACATAGCAGCAACTCGTATATGCTGAGCGCGACAGCCCTGAAGTGTTGACATGTCGAGTCCAACGTCCTGCAAGCCGCAGCAATCTGAAAATGACGACCGCGTGCTCTCAATAAATCGCCTGCGCTACGTCGCGGGCCACAAAGCCAGCATTGGAGTCCCAGCTTGAGTTTTGGAGTTTTGGGCCTCGGGGCTTAAGAGTCACAAGAGTCTATAATTGTGGTTGCTGCCGTTGTCCCTATTCACCCTAAACCCAAAGACCCTAAACTCCTAAAGCCGAAACCCCTAGTTAAATGGTTCCGGGTTGATCAAGTCCTAAACCCTAAACCCTAAACCCTAAGCCCTAAACCCTAAACCCTAAACCCTAAACCCTAAACCGAAGGCCATGACAAGTCTTCCACATGACCTAGGCCGGCCCTTAACACCCTCTGTCGTTAGGGTTTAGGGTTACGATTTAGGGTTTAGGGTTGAGGGCCTGAACAGATATTCCTGAACATGGTCCTCTTAAACCCAACAGGGAAATATAAAACATCACAAGGGACTACTTAGATGACTTCTGACATGCGACAGCACAGTGTGTGTTTTTAGCATGTTGCTGTGCACTAGAAACCATGGTGATGAAACCCTAAACCCTAAACCCTTAACCCTAAACCCTAAACCCTAAGGAGCCAGTTGAGGGTGCAGGGGGGGGCAGCGGGACTGAATGCGGGCAAGGTGTGCAGCCAATGTGCCGGCGCGAACGAATTCACAATCTGGTCACTTCTCTGAACTAGGGCCCCTTGTTGGCGGGGCTGAGGCTTCGAGTGTTAGGGTTTAGGGTTTAGGGTTTAGGGTTTAGGGTTTAGGGTTTAGGGTTTAGGGTTTAGGGTTTAGGGTTTAGGGTTTAGGGTTTCCGATGATGACACAGAGCCTTATAAATGGGGGTAGGCCCCCCCCAGAAAGGGACTACAAATTTGGACTGGCGATCTGACGTTCCCAGGAGAGTGGGAGATGAAGCCCGCCACACTCCACTACAGTCAAGGGTTTAGGGTTTAGGGTTTAGGGTTTAGGGTTTAGGGTTTAGGGGTTAGGGTTTAGGGTTTAGGGTTAAGGGTTGAGGGTTTAAGGTTAGGGTCCTAGGACCAAGTTGGAGGCTGGGGCCTGCAAAAGAGGCATCCGCCCAGCGATGCCCTCCGCAGAGAAAAGGCCCTGTCAAAGACCGAAACTCTAAACCCAACCCTAAACTAGACTCAGGAGTAACCTAGGAATAAAAAGGGTGCCCTTCTGTGTATTGTAAGGAGATTATGAGGGAACCCCTACTCCGGGTCCTAGTAAAAGAACCTAGAAAGTCTGCAAACCCTGTACGCCCTGAAGCCTAAACCCTAAACCCTACCCTGAGCTGCTCATCATCACCAGAAGACGTCCTTCATCTTGCGCTTGGCCTGGCCGCAGCTGAAGCCCCTAAACCTCCGCAACCTTCACAGGGTTTTCAACAAACTGGTGTTGAGGTTTTAGGGTTGAAAAGATTAGGGCTTCGAAGAGCTTAGTAAAACTCGTGCCGGTGAAGCCCCACTGCCATGAAAACCTGAAATCCCCCCCCAAAAAAGCCCTAAACTTTAGGGTTTAGGGTTTTGGGTTTAGGTTTTAGGGTGACAGTTGAGCCCTTCCGCTGCCAACGTCCACGAGACCAACGTGACCGAAGCACATTTTTAGGGGCTGGACATCTTTAATGAACTCATGCTACGAGGGAAACCTAAACCCTGAACCGGAAGCTGTAGACCTTAAGTTTCCCTGGACCCTAAAGCCTAAACCCTAAACCCTAAGTGGGGTCTCACGGTCCCACACCAGCTTCAGCGAAGTCACACAGGTGGAGGTCTGCGTCTGCGTGGCTGCCGTACCTGCATCAAGGCTTATGAGATGCAGCGGTTTAGGGTTTAGGGTTTAGGGTTTATAGGGTTTCGGGTTTATAGGGTTTAGGGTTTAGGGTTTATTTGGGGAGAAAGGCAATACCAACTTATCTCTACCCATGATACCCTCGACCCTACACCTAACCCTTCGGATCCGAGGCCCAATTCCTTGGTCCTAGGAGTTCAAGGGGTTTTAGGGCTTAGGGTTGAAGGTTTTGGGTGTAGGGTTTACGAGTTCAGTTCAGACTCTTGTCCGGGTTTCGCGATCCACCTCTCCACACACTAACCCAAATCGAGCCAGCAACACCAATACGCAGGAGGGTCATAGGAGGTTAGAATTTTGGGCTTAAAGGCCTGTGGGTTTCGTTGGGTTGCTTAAGGGTTGCATATCTAGGGTTTAGGGTTAGGGTTTAGGGTTTAGAGTTTAGGGTTTAGGGTTAAGGGTTTAGGGTTGACAGGGTTTGGGGTTTAGCTTTCGGACCGAAATCCGCAGTTCCCACTTTCAAGCTGAAGCCTCTCCACCGGAAGCAACTGAATCCTAGGCTGTCTCAACAAGTATATACGGGGGCTTCCGCAACATGGAGGTACCCTGTTTTAGAGTCTCCTAGAAGTTTAGGGTGTAGGGTAGGGCTTATAGGGTTTGGGTTTTGGGTTTTGGGTTTAGGGCTTCGAAACCAGGGGGTACCCTTTTTAGGCTCCTGGAATAAGGAGTACGGTACTGTGCAGTATGTGAGACCTAGGAGGATCCCCCCCCCCGGAACCCCGAACCGGGTCCACCCACGGACACCTTCTCCTCCTTCGGCCAGTCGGACCGCGACCTGGCAGGGTGTGTGGCAGGGCAACCAGGCAAAGCATGAAGAGAGGCTGGTTAGCGTTCACGGCTGAAGGGGGTTGCGCAAGAACCCGAGAATTCAACAGGAACGACTCGCTAAGGCGCTAAGGCTTACAAGTAGACCGAAGAAGGGTGCCAAACCTAAACCCTAAACCGGGCACTGGGGTCTTAGGGATTTGGGGCTCAGGACTGCAGTCGGCCTTTAGAAGTTCCCAAGACATTAAACCCCTGGGGTAATATCAGGACATATTTCTTTCGTCTAAGCCCTACAACCCATACCCTAGCCTAAACCCTAGGTCCTAGAAGCTAGAAATTCGCAGGTCAGATGCAAATTGCAGGGCACAGGCACAGACCCCCAAAACGCCGTCCAAAACCCCACCTGAAACTCTCCACTGGACCGTTCAGAAAGGGCTTCTATGCAGCTGCCTTTAGGTTTAGGGCTGAGCGCTGTAGGGGCAGTTGGGGAGGAGCGCTCCAAGGGCAGTTGGGGAGACCCTAAACCCTAAACCCTAAACCCGTTGTGCCTCTTCGCTGGACGCGACCCCTCCGCGGCCGACAGCGGCGACGCGCACTCGCAGGCAGCCAGTGGCGTGAAGGCCTAGGCGGTGGGATGCAGCCTGTCGTTAGGATATTATAGCTGTCACCTTGCCTGCAACTCTACTCTATGGCTGCCCCCATAGGGTTTGGGGGTCGCTTCAACCCCCCTACACGGCTTTGAGGACAGCTTCGTTGGGCTTAACCAGCAACCCTGAACAGACAGGCCCCAAAAACCCCCAACCCTGGAACCCCTAGGGTTTAGGGTTTAGGGTTTAGGGTTTAAATAGGGTTTAGGGTTTAGGGTTTAGGGTTTAGGGCTTAGGGTTTAGGGTTTAGGGTTTAGGGTTTAGGGTTTAGGGTTTAGGGTTTAGGGTTTAGGGCTACGCCCTAAAAGCTGGCGAACAAGCAATTCCTGAACAGCAGCGGCAATGATAATGATGACTTTGGGGATGCTAGCATTCTGTCAGCAAACGCCTAAACCAAGAGACCCCAAACTCCAAAACCCTAACAACCCTCCCCCCACCTGGAATCCCAAAAACTAAATCCCCCAAAAGCACCCGAGACCCCCAAACCCCGAAAGCCCCAAACATTCCTAAACCCCCCAAATAACCCTAAACCCTAAACCCTAAACCCTAAACCCTAAACCCTAAACCCTAAACCCTAAACCCTAAACCCTAAACCCTAAACCCTAAACCCTAAACAAGCTCAAGCCCGAACTGCAAGTTGAGCCGCTTGTCCGGATGCGGCTGCTCAGCTGCTCCTTCCGGCGGCTTCCCTAAGCCCGAAACTCCTAGAGTCCTAAGTCCTAAGCCCTAAACTCTAAACCCACAAGCCCTAACAACCCTAAACTCCTAAAGCCCTAAGCCCTAAATTCCAAAAACCCTAAACCCCAAACTCCTAAAGCCCTAAACTAAACCTTGAACCCTAAACCCCCTAAATCCGAGACCCTACCTTGATGTAAGCCGCAAAGCTCCTACAGCCCTAAGCCCTAAACCCCTCAACCCTAAATCCCAAGCCCTAAACTCCTAAATCCCTAAACTAAACCCGAAACCCTAAGCCCTAAACCCCTAAATCCGAGACCCTAGCTTGATGTAAGCCGCAAAACCCTAAAACCTCAAGCCCTAAACCCTAAACTCCTAGAGCCGTAAGCCCTAAACCCCTTAACCCTAAATCCCAAACCCTAAACTCCTAAAGCCCTAAACTAAACCCTTAGCCCTACGCCCAAAACCCCCCTAACCCTAAACCCTAAACCCTAAACCCTAAACCCTAAACCCTACACCCTAAACCCTAAAGTAAAGCCACGGCCTCCTTGAGTTCAAAGCCGCCTGCGGCTGCCGAGGGGTCGACCTGCACGCAGCTCCACACAACTTGTGGACTAGGGTTCAGGGTTTGGGGTTCAGGGTTTGGGGGTTCAGGGTTCAGGGTTTGGGGTTTAGGGTTGGGCGGGTTTAGGGTTTAGGGTTTGGGGTTTAGGGTTTGGGTTTGGGGTTTAGGGTTTGGGAGTTGTGGTTTGGAGCTGAGGGTTTGGGGTTTAGGGGTTTAGGGCTTGGGGCTTAGGGCTTGGGGCTGAGGGTTCAGGGTTTAGAGTTGTCAGTTGAAGGTATTCGGAGGTCCGTTGGCAGACTGCATGGCTGCTCAGGGTTGCCAGGGCGTGCCAAAGGCCTTCTGCACTCTAATTACTCACAATGCCTAAGCCCTAAATTATTTAAACCCTCAAATTACTCATAATCCCTAAGCCCTAAACCCCAAAGCCTAACCCTACACAGTAAAAAGCTAAGGCCACACCCACGAAGAAGCAAGTCCTAAGCCCCGCAACTTCAAGCCCTCTGCTAATGTGAAACTGGAGTCTCTTAACGTTAAAAAAACCCCATTTAGGGTTTTAGGGTTTTTTAGCGTAAAAAAAACCCTAGATGTTAAGAGTTTAGGTCTTCAGGGCATAGTATCAGAGTTTGAGTGACAAAGACACACAAGCTCAGAGCAACTTGCTAAGCTTCTTTTCGCGTGAGGATGCCAGGGTCAACGGCCTGTTTCTTACTTCTCAGGATATCAAACCATGTGCACAGAAGTTTCTGAGACCCAAGCCCCAAGCACCCGCAATTCTACACACTCTCTGAAATACTCTACAGGGAGGAGTGCCCCGGTTATAAGTATATGTATAAAGTGGCGATATAGGTATTGTAGCAAACTTAGGCTCTAAATCTTGTAAACCTTGAACCCAACCGAGAAACACTCTCCTACAGCCTACAGGCGAACGTGTGATTCGGGTTGGTAGGTCTTTCGAAGCCGCCGCCGATGCCCACCTCCGCTATGGTCACGAAGAAGCCACCATCCTCGCTCGAAACCCTAAACCCTAAACCCTAAACCCGTTTGGTTTCAGGAGGTTTATGCTCGAGCCGAACCCCTGAAAAATGGGGACTGTGGCTCCACTCCCAAGGCTTAAAGACTGTGGCTCGGCTGAAGTGGGCCACTTCAGGGTGTGGGTGGAGGGTTTGGGCTTAGGTTTGGGGTTTAGGGTTTAGGGTTTAGGGTTTAGGGTACGGGGTTTAGGGTTGGAGATATGCCAGATTCACGGCAGCACTCTGTTCGACAATTGTGAAGGTTCAGGGTACTTACATGTGTAAAGCTGGAACTACAACCTTATCTCTTGCCTTTCCCATTAACCATACACATAGAGCAGATGAGCCTTCAAGCACTACTCAGATGGGAAGGGGCTAAAGCCCCAACACTTCACCCTTGTGGACGGGAGGGCGGCGCAAGTGAGACCTTCGCTGCTTTGTCCCTGCTCCCTTACACCTCCAGTGTTGCCTGAAAGACCTACACCCTCAACCCTAAACCCTAAATCCTAAACCCTACACCCTAAACCCTAAACACTAAACCCCAATCAGAAGGAGCTCAGACCTGCGCGCACAAGGCTATCAAGTTCTTGAGAACTACTTGGTATCTAAGTGAGTTTCAAGGTTTCGGGAAGCCTTTGAAGCCTATGAACCCCCATGAGCCCCTCCATGAACCCCATATAGCACCCCTTTTCCATGAGCCCTGTGAGCTCCATAGGTTTAGGGTTTAGGGTTTAGGGCTTAGGGCTTAGGGTTTAGGGTTTAGGGTTTAGGGTTTAGGGTTAGGACCCTCTGATCCCCATGAACGCCTCCGCACGCAGCTCGTAGCGGGTTACGGGGCGGCTGCTTTCCGTAGGAGACACCTTCCTGGGCTTCAGCCCTGCACCCTAAACCCTAAACCCTAAACCCTAAACCCTAAACCCTAAACCCTAAACCCTAAACCCTAAACCCTAAACCCTAAACCCTAAACCCTAACCCTAAACCCTAAACCCTAAACCCTAAACCCTAAACCCAGGGCTGAAATGGGCTTGTGTTTGGCATTTAGACCTTCCTGTGCCTTAGGGCTGAACAGCCTCAGGTCAAGGGCTTTTGAGGCTGAGAGGGTTGTTCAAATGTTTTCGAAGGGCTCGTAAGATTTCAGGGCTCTAACTGCTACCTGGGGTTTACAGCATTTGTAAGGCCTAGCAGGCTTTAAGATAGTTTGCAAGGGCTTATGCGTCTAGGGATTCGGATTCTAGTTTTGATATTATTATTAGTGATACTCTTACTTTAATTTGTTTGTTTTGGAGGGGGGGGGGGTGTTGCAAGCGAGCGCTTGCTGGGGTGTATGGGTTTCCGATTGGGATTGGGGGTTTAGGGCTAAACCCTAAACCCTAAACCCTAAACCCTAAACCCTAAACCCTAAACCCTAAACCCTAAACCCTAAACCCTAAACCCTAAACCCTGAACCCTAAACTTGCTGGTTCTTAGCTAGGATAGCCCTTAAAAACCTCTGAATAGTATTCCTGCATATGACCCCCCCTTAAACCCAACCAAGGGAAAACACAAAAGTATCCCAAGGGCCTAGATAGGGAATGAGGTACCCTGTGCAATCCCTTAAAGGGTTTAGGGTTTAGGGTTTAGGGTTTAGGGTTTAGGGTTTAGGGGGTTATACATAGGAGGGGGACCATACGGCACCTGATTCCATCATCCCCTGACAAAGAACCAGGGAAGGCCACCGCGGGCAAAACCCAATGTCTAAAAAAAATTGCAACTGGATACTATTCTTTTAGACCATGTCTGAAACATGCTGCAACTGGATACGATGTTTTGAGACATGTCTAAAAAAAAAGAGTATCCAGTTGCAACAGACAGGACCGGGGCTCCAGGTGAACCTCCACATCGTCGGGCCCATGGCTCGGCACTCCTGCTGTTTATTTCGGGGGCAGCTTCGGGTTTTCAGGATTTTCAGGGTTTTCAGGGTTTTCAGGATTTTCAGGGTTTTCAGGCTTTTCAGGGTTTTCAGGGTTTTCAGGGTTTTCAGGGTTTTCAGGCTTCAGGGTGAGAAAGGCCGAAAACCAACTTGGGGCTCACCAAGATGTGCCAAGAGTAACCTATACGACCTTCAGGCAGGGGAACAAAAACACCGCACCCCAAAATCAACCCTGAACGCAAAACCGCAAACTCTTGCAAGACAACCCAATAATGTGTGTGCCTGCACAATCCCATTTTCAATTGGCATGTAGCCAGGTTCTTAGGCCAGTTTTTACATGGTCCCTTAGCGTGGGCCCGTAAAAGGGGACCCTATATATATATATATATATATATATATACCCCTTATATACCCTATACAACCCAAGGGCCCATACTTCAGAACCCTGTAAAGGAAATGCGGGACCCTATGAAGGGCCCATGTCACTACGCTTAGGGTGGTACAGACAGGAACGCGCCTAAGCTTCTCTACATTCAAGTGGGCGTTCGGGGGATCGAAGCCTAGGGCAGGGCTTAGGGTTTATAGGGCTTAGGCTTTAGGGTTTAGGGTTTAGGGTTTAGGGTTTAGGGTTTAGGCTTTAGGCTTTAGGCTTTAGGCTTTAGGCTTTAGGCTTTAGGCTTTAGGCTTTAGGCTTTAGGCTTTAGGCTCCAGGGGTTAGGGCTTATGGTTATAGGGCGTAGGGTGTAGGGTTCAGGATTTCGGTCCTGGGACCTGGGGGTTTGGGGTCTACAGTGTTGGTGTACATGGGAGTTGTTCTACAGGCCCGTTTGGGGGGAAGGCATTTTGGAACAACTACCCTAGACCCTGAACCCTCAGCCCTCAAACCCTAAACCACCTAAAGCCTAAACCCCTAAACCACCTAAAGCCTACTACACCCAAGCCACCGAAACTCTAAACCCTAAGCCACCTGAACCCTAAACCCTAAGCCACTTAAACCCTGAACCCTAAGCCACCTCAACCCTAAACCGTAAACCACAGCTAAACCCTAAACCCCAAACCCTAAACCATCCGAAACCATCCTAAACCCAAAGCCCTGAACCCCAAATCCTAAACCCTAAACGCTAAACCCTGAACCCTGAACCCGAAACCCCAACCACCCTAAAACCTAACTACCCTAAAGCCTAACTACCCTAAACCCTAAACCCTAAACCCTAAACCCTAAACCCTAAACCCTAAACCCTACATTCTTCTGAACAGAGCGACGCCCTAAACCCCCGCGGTCCAGCAGCTCCGGCCGCCGCGGAGCCTTGAAGGGAACGCAGCCCACGAGACCTCAGCCCGAGGTGGGTTTAGGGTTTAGGGTTTGGGGTTTAGGGTTTAGGGTTTAGGGTTTGGGGTTTAGGGTTTAGGGTTTAGGGTTCAGGGTTCAGGGTTCAGGGTTCAGGGTTCAGGGTTCAGGGTTCAGGGTTTAGGGTTTAGGGTTTAGAAGGTTTAAGGTTGAGGGTTGAGGGTTTAGGATCTATAGGCTTTCGGGGCTTTAGGGGCTTTCGGGGGCTTTACGGGTTTAGGGTCTAGGGTTTCTCGGGGTCAGGCTGAGGATGGAGGATTGAGGGGTTTTAGGGCTTTAGGGGTGAAGGGTTCTTAGGGTTTAGGGTTTAAGGCTTACTCGAAAGCATAAAACGCCAAAACCCTAAGCATGGAAGCGCAAAGCGCTAAAACTCTAAACAGGGTTTAGGGTCAGGGCTTCAGGATGGATTGAGGATTTGGGGCATTTGTGTCGTAGGGTTCGGATTTCTGGGGCTTTTCTCAGTTTCGGGCTTGGGGATTTGCAGCGGTGAAGGAAGGCTGTGTTAACCCCAACTAGAACTTGTCATGAGCCTTCAAGTAATCTGCTTAGTCTGTATGCGGGCTCTGGGCTACATGGCACAAGGCTCCTAATCACCTCTGCAGCAGGCGTTGATGCCTGCATGCGAAGACGAAAGTCTTCTTACGTGGGGAAGGGTACTGTGTGGAAGTAGGATCGTAAATGCGCTGTGTTGACCCGGCCAAAAGCTTGGCTTAGCCATGGACCGATCTAGCCAGGAAACTGTTTTCCTGGCTGTCTACCAATGTATGCTGGAAGAAACTGTCAGCAATCTTCATCAGACTGGAACATTCTCACCCGCAGCAGGCAGCTGTTTATCTGTGAAACAGAACCACTTACCCTGAACCCTGCTGCCCAATCTTCCGTGGAAACCAAATTGTGGCCGAAGTCGGCTAAACCATCTGAAAGCACTCCACCGCTCACACACTCCACAACACCGCCCCAAACCCTAAACCCTAAACCCTAAACCCTAAACCCTAAACCCTAAACCCTAAACCCTAAACCCTAAACCCTAAACCCTAATTAAACCATAAACCCCACACCCGAAACCCCGGGAGCCCGGTGAACAGCTAATTCCATCCAGAGGCGATGAACAGCACGACGGGCCCGCTGAAGTTTGGCGAGGGCCTTTTGCCAGGTGTTAACTGGTGAACAGGGTGTTCGGGTTTTTGGCTTTAGGGATTTTAGGGCTTGGGCTTATAGATTCTCGGGCAAAATGAAATTTCTTAGGTGTTTCTCAGGGCTAAGGGGAAGAATCACTGCAAAAAAACACAAGGAGTTTGAGGGCGGCGTCGCCAAGGCTTGTCAAGGGAGGGCCCGCCATGACACCGAGACTTGGACGGCGGCTTAGGGTTTAGGGTTTAGGGTTTAGGGTTTAGGGTTTAGGGTTTAGGGTTTAGGGTTTAGGGTTTAGGGTTTAGGGCTTTAGGGTTTAGGGTTTAGGGTTTAGGGTTTAGGGTTTAGGGTTTAGGGTTTAGGGTTGAAGCGCTCAGGGGACTCGAGTGGCAACAATCCCATGTTGGTTTGTCATGGCTTCGAAACCCTAAACCCTAAACCCATCGAAACCTCCTTTTGGGGTACAACCTTAGGGGTACGAGTCTTCATCCCCTTATACTCTAAAGTCATAATGCGTACTTGTGTCACGTTGCGGGCACGTGCGGTCATCGGGAACGTGAGAACGCGCTCTCGCTATGTACCTTGTAAGTCCGAGTGCAATCAACATCTGTGGAAGCAAGTGCCGGCAGATTGCCACGCCATGAGTTCTTAAACCCAATGCATTTGTGGCGCGTAACTGTGTAGACTGTATCCAATTCTGGAGTTGCGAGAGCCGCAACCACAGTCGGTGGTGGTTGTTTGGGTCACCAGGCACTTGATCCGTGGATACCTAGGCTCCATAACAATCTTGTGGGGCTGAGCCTGCAGCCTGCAGAGGAAAACCCATACAACCCGAAACCCTAAGGCCAAAACCCTAAACCTTTAGGCGTTTAGTTGGGGCTTGATGTTCCGAGCCCCTCTCTCCTCAAACGCTGCAACAAAAGCTCTCAGGGTCCATAGGACTACCTCAGAGGTTTAGGGTTTAGGGTTTAGGGTTTAGGGGGGTTTAGGGGGTCCTTAGGTGGGCCTTGGGATTCAGGGTTTGAGGCGTTAGCTTTCGGGTTACCCTGTTTGGGCTTTAGGGTGGCTAGTGCAAGCGGTGCACCGCGCAAGATTCTACGAGTACCTGGGCGCTCAGCCAATCCCGACCATGCTGCCCATTGAAAGACCCGGTTCCCCAGCAAATATAGGAAAGAAAGGGCAAAGCACCTCATTTGGCTAAAGTTTGATCAAGGGTTTTCTGTTCAGGCAGCCGAACCGAAATCTAGGGGAAACCCACGTAGTTGGGGAGCTACAGTAGTGAAAACCTACAAACCCTGAACCCTAAAACCTACCCTAAACCCTTGAGGGTTTTGGGGCATCAGCTGCTTGCAAGAGACCAGTGGCTTCGTTGCATGGATTATGGAAGCAGTGGGGTTTGGGGTTTAGGGTTTAGGGATTATGGAAGGAACTCAAAAACTCAGGAAAATCCATCTTGCTCCTCTGCAGACTTATGATAAGGACGTAATCTCAAGTGCTTTGCCAGCGAAGCATTTCTTCAGGGCTTGTGGCTTGTGGCTTGAGGGTTTAAGTTTAGGGCTTTGGGCTTTTGGGTTGAGGGCTTGAGGCGCTTAGGGTGGTAGGATATCCGACTGAGGATTTACACGGTACCTTGACCTGAAAGCCGCAGATGTCAGAGGCCCAACGGCAACCAACAAAGTGAACCCCATTGATTCAACGCCAAACGCAAACCCCGCACAGAAAGATGCCCTGAGGAAGCTTCCTCGTGGCAGCGCAGCTCATCCTGCAGCGTAGAGTCCGTTCGGTTCTTAATATGAAGGGTTTAGGGTTTATGGTTTAGGGTTTAGGGTTTAGGGTGATCCCACGAGGACATGTATCTATGATGAGGTATCAGAAGCCAACGTTTCGTATGTTTTCTGGGGGCACCTTGTTTCATAGCACTCTATGGACCAACGAGGCTTCGGGAATCTGGCACTGAAGGTCAAAGCTTCTGTACTGAAGAAGTTGGGCCCCTCTCAGGGACATGGTCCCTTGGTACGGGCCCCTAAAGGGGCCCCTTGTATACCCCTTATGTACCCTATAACCCAAGGGCCCACACTTCAGAATCCCTTAAAAGGAGGTAAGGGACCATATTACGGGCCCATGTAACTACTAACTCCAGCACATCTTGAGCCCCAGGAGTGCATGTAAGGGATGTATATTGAAGGGCTCGTAAACCGAAGTTAGACCCTTAGGGTTTAGGGTTTAGGGTTTAGGGTTTAGGGTTTAGGGTTTAGGGTTTAGGGTTTAGGGTTTAGGGTTTAGGGTTTAGGGTTTAGGGTTTAGGGTTTAGGGTTTAATGTGATCCCCACGAACTCCAATTTGCAGTAGCCTTCATTCAGGCACCAAGCTAGGTAGTTTTTTGCATGCCTGCTCAAATCAGGCCCAACCCCTGCCCGGCAATTTGTGGATTACTTAAGTACTTAAGGTTCCTGTAAGGCATCGTATCCTCCTACCTAAAAGAAGGGTGGGTTTTGGGTTCTTCAGGTATGTCAAGGAGAACCAAACGGGCCTTATGGGGGTGCAAGGTTGAACCTATGACAGTGCAGGCCCATGTTGTGGGTTTAGGGTTTAGGGTTTAGGGTTTAGGGTTTAGGGTTTAGGGTTTAGGGTTTAGGGTTTAGGGTTTAGGGTTTAGGGTTTAGGGTTTAGGGTTTAGGGTTTAGGATGATCCAAGTGGACGAGAGACTTTGTGTAGGGTTTGGGTATTCTGGTTTGGGGCAGGGTTAGGGCAGACAGGCCTTTGGCGGGAGCAAGGTGCGCAGGGTCTCCCGCGAGATTCAAGGCTGGAAGCATGACTTACTGGGTGTTGCTCTAAAGTCCTTTGAACATTGTCTATGAATAGGTTCCCTTAAAAGGGGAAGCAGGGAAATTTAAAATTATCCCAAAGCAATACCCAGCTTAATATGAGGCAGATCTCGAAGGATCTTCGCAGACCCAACTACCTAACCCCATCATTCCTACTTGAAGAATCAAGGGTAGCTACAGAGATAAGTGCAGCTTTGAAACACCTAGAACAGCACTGAAGCTTCTGGAGCCCACTTGTCACCGCACGAAAAACACACATGAGCCGTCAAGTAGAGCATGTAGGGTTTGGGGTTTCTGTACCCAGGGTTCCTAACCCCTAAAGCCTAGACCTTGACCCTGACTCCGGTCCTCCTCTGTCAGGCGCTGGCGCCCGTCGGGGTGTATCTTGCCTCTGTTTAGGAGAGTAAAAGTCAAAAACCGAAAGGGCCCGAATCCCAAAACCCCGAACCGCTCTCCTAACATTGGGCTTGGGAAGTCTACGAGGTGTTCAGGGTTCAGGGTTTAGGGCTCAGGGTTTAGGATTCCATCTTCATCAGGAGGAGGTTTGCTTGATTCATGAGAGGTTGCAAGCAAATTTATGAAGGCAACCTCTAGGAATAAAAGGGTACCCTTTTTGGTTTTAAGAGGATTCTAAGGGAACCCCAACCCCAAAACATGGAAGTGAGGGCCTACTCCGGGTCCTAGCCCCAAACTCAAACCCCAACCCTAAACCCCAAACCCCAAGATTTGAAACTCTAAGCCCAAAGTACCAATACAGTATCCTCATGCACCCTGAGACCCAAGCCCGACACCTTCAACGCCCTACCCTAAACACTAAACCCTAAACCCTAAACCCTAAACCCTAAAGAACCCACAGGCCCTGAACCTTAAACCCTACTCCCCTATGCCCCCGAGTACCCCAGACCCGACGAAGTCTTAAGTGCCCAAACCCTAAACCCTGAATCCTAAACCCTAAACTTCCCAAAACCTAAACTTCCTGCTTCCTAAACCCGAAGCCCTAAACCCTAAACTTCCTAAACCCTGAACCCGAAACTTCCTAAACCCAAATCCCTAGACCCTACGCCCTAAGCCCGAAACCCTAAATGCCCTCCTCTACAGACTAGAACCTAAGCAGCCTCAGCTGACCAGGGTTTAGGGTTTAGGGTTTAGGGTTTAGGGTTTAGGGTAATGCCGACCAGGATCGGGCCATTGAGCGGAAGGCCTTCCGTCACAGATCCGAGGCTCTCATAGTGGGCGTTTAGGGTTTAGGGTTTAGGGCTTTAGGGTTTAGGGTTTAGGGAGTGGGCTTAAAGGGTTCGGGGTTTTTGGGCGTTTAGTTTCGGGCTTGAGGGATCTTAGGGATTGTAGGATTGTTTAGGGATTTTAGGGTTTTAGGCTTTTTAGGGGTTTCAGGGCTTTGGGGCCTTTGGGGTTTTTTAGGGTCTTTAGGGGTTTTCGGGTTTTTAGGGCGTTTAGCGATTTAGGGCGTTTAGGGTTTAAGGGCCTTTAGGGTTTCTTGAGGGTTCTTGGGGTTCAGGTTTTCTTTTTTTTTTTTGTTTGGGGGGGGGGGGGGGGGGGAGGTTAGGGCTTTTAGGGTTTAAGGCTTTTGGGTTTTAGGGTTCTTCGGGCTAGGGTTGTTAGGGCATTGAAGGGTTTAGGGTTAAAGGTTTTAAAGGCGGGTTAAGGTTCAGGGCCCAGGGGTTTAGGGTTTAGGGTTTAAGTTTAGGGTTTGGGGTTTAGGAGTACTGGGTCTACGGGGTATATAAGGTTTATAGGGTTTACCGGGTTTGCAGGGCTTCAGGACTTTCAGATTTTTAAGGGTTTCGGGTTTTAAATGGGTGGGGGAGGAAGCGTTTGGGGCTTCGAGGTTGCTACTGCCCAACCTACACGGCCGCGGGCCCCGAAAACCTCAGCCCTAGCCCCGCCGACCTTGCGGACTCACCCGGTTTAGGGTTTAGGGTTTAGGGTTTAAGAAGTTTAGGGTTTAGGGTTTAGGGTTTAGGGTTTAGGGTTTAGGGTTTAGGGTTTAGAGTTTAGGGATCTTGAATCGCGGCGCTCATACCATTCTGGCGTTTCCTAAGGGCGCTTAGAGGTTTTAGGGTGCTAGGGGCTTGGGGATACGTTATGTGCAAGGGAGCGCATAAGGCCTACAACCAAAGCGCTGAAACCCTAATCTCGTCTAACCCTCAACCCCTACAAACCCGAAGCAGTCACACCCCTAAAGCCCCTAAAGCCCCACAAGCGATGAAACCCTAACCCTAAACCCTAAGCCCGAAACCCTAAACATCAACGCTAACCCCTAACCCCTAACCCCTAACCCCTAACCCCTAACCCCAAACCCTAAACCCTAAACCCTAAACCCTAAACCCTAGACCCTAAACCCTAAACCCTAAACCCCAAAAGCAAGCCTTGGCTGCGGCGCGCACGGCCGCCTCTGCACCTTCCGGGGGCGGCTGCAGGCCGAGGGCCTCCACCCAGAGGAAGTTTAGGGTTTAGGGTTTAGGGTTTCGGGTTTAGGGTTTGGGGTTGAGGTTTGAGGGTTCGGGGTTGAGGTTTGAGGGTTTCGGGGTTCAGAAAACTCAGGAAGTTTAGGGCGTAGGGTTTAGGGTATAAGCGCGCAGGGGTTGAGGGCTCGGAGTTTAGGGCGTAGGACTTGGGAGTGGATGGGCCTATATACATGTAGGGGTCCCCTAGTTATAAATAGGATTATAAGGGCCCTAAAATGGGTGATAAGCCTTACTATTTAGTTCGGGCTTTGGGAGATTGCTGGTGACGTTTAGGGGAAGGGGGTCAGAGGTCAAGGGCTTGGCGCCTGGCCCTTAGTAGCCCGGGCATGGAACATTGGGAACCCTGCTTTGGCTTGATGGTGTTTAGGGTTTAGGGCCCCTAAAACCTAAACCCTAAACCCTAAACCCTAAACCCTAAACACTAAACCCTTTAGGGCGCAGGGTCTAGGCTTCATACGTTCACAACTGACACGAAACACCCAGAACCCTCAAGCCCTGGAGTCCCTGGAGTCCACAGACCCTAAACCCTAAACCCTAAACTCTAAACCCTAAACCCTAAACCCCAAACTTGGGATGGACCCCCTTGTACTTACAGTCCTGAATAGGGAGTATCATCAGGGGTACTCTTATCCCTGGTAGTAGAGGGGGAACATCCCAGAATCAAACCCTAAACCCCAACTCTTCTTCAACCCTCCGCCCTAAACCCTCAACCCTAAACCCTAAACCCCACCTTAAGCTCTCAAAACAACACGAGCCTCCAGTCCCCATTCGGGCTGCTGCTCCGGGACCTGGCGATTGAGGGAACGTTCTCGATATTACGCCAAACCCTAAACCCTGAGCCCAGGGTTTAGGGTTTAGGGTTTAGGGTTTAGGGTTTAGGGGTACATGAAAGGCATCCCTTGCTATACTAATTTCAGTTAAGGGAGTTATAACCTACATAGTAAGCCTTATAACCCATTTTAGGGCCTTTACAATCCCATTTAAAACTAGGGTGCCCCTGCATGCAAGGGTTAGGACCTAGAAGTTTAGGGCTTATAGAGTTTAGTAATTTAATGTGCGAAGGTTATGTGGTCCCTTCTCTAAAATATGGTCCCTTTTGAGGTCCTTATTATAAGGCGGAACCTCTTACTTTAAGCACTCGAAAAAGGACCACAAATCTAGACAGCTGACCGTGTTAACAAAAAGAAGAGGAACGCCAACCAAGGGGCCCTGACCTGCATTTAGGGTTTGGTATGGCTGAGGGTCAGTGCAGGATCCCCCCTCCCCGCCTCCCTCCCTCTTGGTTTTCAGTTGTTCGCAGCTTAGGGTTTAGGATTTAGGGTTTAGGGTCTAGGGTCTAGGGTCTAGGGTTTAGGGTTTAGGGTTTAGGGTTTAGGGTCTAGGGTCTAGGGTCTAGGGTCTAGGGTTTAGGGTTTAGGGTTTAGGGTTTGGGGTTTAGGGTTTGGGGTTTGGGGTTTAGGGTTTAAATGACGCTTTTGTCCCATGTTCATTCGACGTGTTTCTTTTGATGACGCGGAGCAGCAGCGTAGCTCTTGCAGCAGCTGCTCCTGAAAGCCCGGCCCATGGAGCATACTCAGATAGCCGGCGCATTCAAGCGGTCTACTTGGGACAGAATGTCCATGTACCGAAGAGTCCCTTTGTCACAGGGCTCGTTGTTGAGCTGCATGCCGCACAGGAGCTGGAGACTACCTGCAAACTCTCCACCTGAACCCCCACACCACAAACCCTAAACCCTGAACCCCGAAACCCCCTAAACCCTAGACCTCAAACCCGAAATATCAAACCCTAAACCCCAAACCCCTTATTACACAACTTAACCCCAAGCCCCAAACCCTAAACCCCAAACCGTAAACTTTAAATTATATTGATCGCATTGACTCCAAGTCCGTGTCAACCCGAAACTTTAAACAGCACACCCCAAAAACCCTAAACCCCCCAAAGCCACAAAGCCCCAAACCCCAAAACCCTTAACCCCCAAAAACCCCAAACCCCAAAACCCCCCTAAGACCTAAACCCGAAACCCTAAACCGTAAACCCCAAAACCCCCAAACCCCCCTAAACCCTCAGCCCGAAAGCCGATACCCTAAACCCCCAAAACTCCCAAACCCCAAAATCCCCCTGAACCCTAAACCCTAAACCCTAAACCCCAAAAAAACCCAAAAACTCGCCCGCAGGGCGCCTGCAGGATCCGCGCGATTTCGGCTTTGGCATCCTCTGGGTCGGCACGCCTGGAGCCGAAGCTCTTAAGGGTTTAGGGTTTAGGGTTTAGGGTTTAGGGTTGTGGGGTTTGGGGTTTAGGGTTTGGGGTTTAGGGTTTGGGGTTTAGGGTTGGGGGTTTAGGGTTTAGGGTTTAGGGTTTAGGGGTTAGGGGTTAGGGGTTAGGGTTTAGGGTTTGGGGTTTGGGGTTTAGGGTTGGGGGTTTAGGGTTTAGGGTTTGGGGTCTCGGGTTTGGGGTTTGGGGCTGGGGGTTTAGGGTTTTTGGGCTTATACTACAGGGCTTGGCGTTTTGGGGTCTAGGGTTCACGATTTGCGGGGTTTCTAGGGGTCTGATGGGTTGTGAATAGGGTGTACAGTGTACATGGCAAGGCTTGGAGGTTGTCAGGGCCTAGGCTCTAGGGTTGAGGGCTATGGTTCACAGTTGACCCTCCACAAGCCCTAAACTAAGACAACGCACATGAATCACCTTGGACCACTGCAAAACTCCACCTGCAGACACAGGAGGAGATCTAACGCACAAAAGGTGGACCCCGGTTTAGGGTTTAGGGTTTAGAGTTTAGGGGCTACTGGACCACACGAAAACGGTGGACCCCGGGTTATGGAGTTTACGGACAGTTTACGGATTAGGGTCGAGGGAGGTATTCGTCTAGAGCGTAGGCATTCGTAACCTACTGGTGCGGGTGGATGGGTACATCTTCCATCTCGGGTTTCGGGTTGTACGGCTCAAATTGTGGCATCCCCTCTCATCAGCCAACTCGAGTGGCTTGTGGATGTTCCCCTTCTTCTGCTTTCTCCTATTCTGCCTCATTTGTTCTTGTAATCTGTCGTGTTTTGTACACGTTGTCCCCTAAACCCTAAACCCTGAACCCTGAACCCTAAACTCTCAACCCTAAACAGCAAATCCGCCTTGATCTTTTGCGGAACTTCCCCGAAACCCCCACCCCCGTCCCGCAGCAAACCTCTTCGTGGCTGGTGGCTCCAGTGGAGAAGCTTCGGCCTCTAGAGCTTTAGGGTGTAAGGTTTAGGGTTTAGACCCAAGAGTAACCTGGGAATAAAAGGGTACTCTTTTTTGGTTTAAAGAGGCTGATACGGGAACCTGAACCCCAAGAGAAAGGGAATCAGGGCCTACTCTGGGTCCCAGGGGTTTAGGGTTTAGGGTTTAGGGTTTAGGGTTTAGGGTTTAGGGTTTAGGGTTTAGGGTTTAGGGTTTAGGGTTTAGGGTTTAGGGTTTAGGACTATAGGGTTTAGGGTTTAGGGTTGAGGGCCTTGGGGGGTTTAGGGGTTTAAGGGGCTCAGGGCTCCGGCGGTTTAGGACTGCCGGGTTGAAGGGCCATGGGGCTTCTCGAAGATGTGGGGTCCCTTTGGGGGTCGCTATCATAAGGCGACCCCTATCATCTTGAGCCCTACAAACCTGCCAAGCACCCCAAAAAAACCAAAAACTGCAAAAACCCCAAAGACCCCAAGACCCAAAAACCCTGAAGCCCTAAAACCATAAACATGCAGGGTGCCCCCCAAAAGGGGCCACAATTTAGAGAACTCATGGAAGGCTGTCTTCGGTGTCAGCAGACTTACGGTGAGGGTGGCACCCGAACAGCATTCAAAAGAAGGAAAGGAAAACACCGTCGGGTTGTCTAGAGCCTTGGTGCCAAAGCGCTAAACCCTAAACCCGAAACCTAAACCCTAGCCCCTAAACCCCAAACCCTAAACCAGTAAGACGTCCTCAACCCTCAGGCCGAAACGCCTAGAGCCCAGCAACCTTTAAGCCTTCCAAGCAATACTTGCAGCCGAACACCGAAACCGGTTTTGGGGTTCAGAAGTTTGAGGTTTTTCTAGGGTTCCAAGTATGGGCCCTTAGCCTGGGTATATAACTTATATATATATGTATATGTATATGCATATGTATATGTATATGTATATGTACTACATAGAATAAGGGCCCACACTTCGGATCCCCATGAACTAGGGTAAGGGGCCATACTTAGGGCCCATCCTGGTTCCAACCTTACATAAAGGGTTTAGGGTTTAGGGTTTAGGGTTTAGGGTTTAGGGTTTAGGGTTTAGGGTTTAGGGTTTAGGGGGTAGAGTTCATGGTCCCTTAATATGGTCCCCTACCCTCTTCACTGGTCCCTTACCCTCTTTAAAAGGGTTCTGATGTGTGGGTGGGCACTTGAGTTGTATAGAGTAGATAACGGGTATATGTATCCAAGGGGTCCCCGTTAAGGCGCCATATGATGGGACCATTAACCCTAAACCCTAAACCCTAAACCGTCAACCCTAAACCCTAAACCCTAAACCCTAAACCCCAAACCCTAAACCCTAAACCCTCGAGTTTTGGGCTTTATGTTTTGGGCTTAGGGTTTTTTTAGGGGGCGCCTCTGCCGGCCGCTTCGGCTCTGCGCACTTCTGGGGCTCGTTCCCGCCGATCAGGTCTGGTAGTCCTCAGAGGCTTAGGGGGTTTAGGGTTTAGGGTTTAGGGTTTAGGGGGTTTAGGGTTTAGGGTTTAGGGGGTGTAGGGTTTAGGGGGTTTAGGGTTTAGGGGGTTTAGGGTTTAGGGGTTTAGGGTTTAGGGGTTTAGGGTTTTAAGGGTTAAAGGATTTAAGGATTCAAGAACTTGGGAATTTAGGGGGTTTTTTTGGTTTAGGGGTCGAGGAATGATTTTGGGGGTTTGTGAAGGTTTAAGGACTTAGGCATTTACGGGTTTGTGAGGGTTTCAGGGTTGATGACTCTTGGGGGTAGCGGTTGAAGGGCAGGGTCTACGGGTTGAGGGATTTAAGGGTTTGAGGTGTTAAGTCCAGGATATCCTAAACCCTAAACCCTAGACGGGACCACAACTCTGGACACCGAAAGCGGGTTCAATGCGCGCCTCCGCCGACTGCAATCTCGGGCTGCAGCTCAACCGAGATGTCCTGCGATCGGTTTAGGGTTTAGGGTTTAGGGTTTAGGGTTTAGGGTTTAGGGTTTAGGGTTTAGGGTTTAGGGTTTAGGGTTTAGGGTTTAGGGTTTAGGGTTTAGGGTTTAGGGTTTAGGGTTTAGGGTTTAGGAGACCCCTGTACATGTCAAGAGCATGCGAACGACAACCTTTCGGGGTTTGAGGGTTTCAGGAAGGGTTTTAAGATTAAGGGCTTGAGGGTTTCAAGCTTGGACTTGCTTCGGTGTGAGGTGTCGAGCCTTGGGTTGGATCCACCGAAACCCGAAAAAACTTGAACCCTAGCACCCCGGAGTCTATTGAAGTCTAAAAGTCTACTCCACAACAGCACTTTGTGTATGGGGATGGGTGTGTTAACCATCGCAGAGCTTTGTATCAGCTGGTGGAGGGTTTCTAGTTCAACTGAGCTCACGCAAAACTCTAAGCCCAAAGTCAAACCTCCAAACCGTAACACGCTAAACCCTAAGCCGTAACTAAGCCCCTAAATCCTAAAAGCTAACCCCTTAACTTAAACCTTTTGTACACCTTGACCCCTCAAACCTCAAACCATAAAACCCTAAACCCTAAACCCTAAACCCTAAACCCTACACCCTAAACCCTAAACCCTAAACCCTAAACCCTAAACCCTACCAGGCCTTGAGCTCTTCCTTGGGGCCTTCCGACACGTGGCCTCCAACATGGCCCCAGGAGAATCCTGACAGTTCCGGGTCTCAGGTGCTGGGGTTTGGGGTTTGGGGTTTGGGGTTTGGGGTTTGGGGTTTTGGGGTTTGGGGTTTAGGGTTTAGGGTTTAGGCTTTAGGGATTCGGTTTCAGGAGTCGTTCGGGGCTTTTGTGCTTCGGGGGTGTTTGGGGTGTCTGCCCTACCGGGGCTCGGAGTTTCAGGGCACTCTTTCACTCGGGTCGCGCCACCCCGAGCAAGACTATGAAACCCAAGGCCCAAAAAAAAACAAAGAGGCATGAGCCTACACTACACACTGAACCCTAAACTCCAAAACCCTGAGCCCTAACCCCGGAAACTCTAGACCCCTAACCTCTAAATCCCCAAACCTCTGACCGAAGCTCCCGCACCCTAACCTTAAGGGATATACGGAGGGACCTCGGGAAGGGACCCTGATGTCTTATTCCCATCTATAACCCTCACTTATATATCTTATATAGTCCCTAACATAGTCCCTATATACCCAAGTAGCCCCCCCAAAGAAGCCCCAAAGAAGCCCCTAAGGGTCCCTTGCAAGGGTCCCTCCTTTAGTTCCTTGATAAGCCCTAAGGGTTTAGGGTTTAGGGTTTAGGGTTTAGGGTTTAGGGTTTAGGGTTTAGGGTTTAGGGTTTAGGGTTTAGGGTTTAGGGTTTAGGGTTTAGGGAACCCGTAACCCGAAAGCCTTCCCCACCTCCAAGCGTGGTCGGCGGCACGTCGCCCGCCTCAGGAGCCGAATGCCAGCGACCTCACATGGATTTCAGGGGGCTTCGGGCTTAGGGCTCAGGGCTCAGGGCTCGGGGTTTAGGGTTTAGGGTTTAGGGTTTAGGGTTTAGGGTTTAGGGTTTAGGGTTTAGGGTTTAGGATTTAGGCATTGGGTTTGATTCAACGAGTCGTGAGAAGTAATGTGAGGCAACCCATGTTTTATCATTTTCAAACCTTGACCCAGGTATTTCAAACACAGCTCAGAGCTTCCCCTGAGTAATGGAAAACAAAAAATATATTGGGGCTCCTCAAAGTAGGGCTACCCATTTTGGGGATCCCTAAAACAAGCGCCAGAATGTGTTGGGGGTGGATTGTATTGTTAAGGGTAACCCTATTTGGAGAAATGGTCATGACTATATGTTACAAGCTCATTCCATTCTTACAGGTGCCCCGAAAGTCTACTGCACAAGAGCCCAGGCCTCCGCCCCAAGCAACAAGCCCAACAAGGTTTCGGGTCTCGGGCTAAACCCTCGAACCCTAAACTAATTTTTAAAGCAAAATGAGCTGGGCACCACACCCTCGGGCACCTCAGAATCTTCTGATCCAACTTCTGGTTGCTGGATCGTGGCGTGCTCGGCTCTGGGGCCTCCGCATGCCGTGGGAGCTCAGGGCTTGGAATCCCCCCCCAAGTACCCCTGAAAGGCCTAGGTGGGGGTATCTAGGTATTTTAACAGGTACCCAAAAAACTGAACCTCATGCACCCTGAAGCCGAAACTCTGAGCCCCAAACCTATCTTGAACGGTACTTTGGGGGCCAGGTCCCTTGAGCTGCATGGGCAATCGGGACATCGAATCGAGAACCATTCAAACCAACCTTCGACCCTGGAGATTTCTACAACAGAGCTAAGGAAACGCCGTTTTGCTAAGAGTACCAAGGCTACTCTGCTCTCGGTACAATATATCCTGCAGCCCTTTTACCCCAGAACAGGAAAATTCAGATACCCCCCCCCCCAAATCCCCCTAACTTCTCTGGTGTGCGCTTTCTCTCGCACCTGCGTGGACTTCCGCGCGCACTGGCGGCTGCGACACCGCACGTCCAGGACCTTCACGCTGGAACCCTAAACCCTAAACCCTAAACCCTAAACCCTAAACCCTAAACCCTAAACCCTAAACCCTAAACCCTAAACCCTAAACCCTAAACCCTAATGAATGAAACCCTAAACTAAGCACTAAACACTGTCAAGCTTGGGGTTTAGGATTTAGTTGGTCACATTTCGGATGCAAGCTTTGCCTCAAGAACCGCAAGCCTACTTGTGAGGGAGGATCCTGAGAACGAGAGGTTTAGGGTTTAGGGTTTACGGTTTCGGGTTTAGGGTTTAGGGTTTATAAATAGGCTTGGGGGGTGTGTGCCCTTTTTTGCTTAAAGGGTCTTACAAGGGAACCTAAACCCCCCAAAAAGGGAATAAGGGTACTACCTGGGCATCCTAGTATAAGTCCAAGCCACAGGGTTTGGAGCTTACTTCAGAGGGGGTCGTGCAACAAAATGACTGTGAATGTGTGTCGACTTTTGGGTTCCTGGCTGGGCGGGTTTAGAGTTTAGGGTTAGGGTTTAAGTAGGGTTTAGGGTTTAGGGTTTAGGGTTTAGGATTTAGGGTTTAGGGTTTAAGGTTTAGGGTTTAGGGTTTAGGGTTTAGGTTGACGAAGAATCCTTTCAGGGCTGGATTTAACCATGGCCTGCCAAAAAGAAGGCTTTGCGATTTAAAACGAACCTTGCGATGTGACACTACAGCATTATTGGATGAACGCCCAAGAACCACGGACGAAGTACAGAGACTAAACCGTAAACTCGAACCCCTCAACCCTAAACCTTAAACCCTAAACCCTAGACTATACAGACCCAAAACCCTAAACCCTAAACCCTGAACCCTAAACCCTAAACCTCCAAGTAACTTGCACCACTCAGCGGGATGCCTCGAAGGACCTCCTCCGCACCAGCGCAGAAAAGCCAGCCTTGCATGCAGCAGCCACTTGGAGGTTCATGGTAGGGTTAAGGGTTTAGGGTTTAGGGTTTAGGGCTTAGGGCTTAGGGCTTAGGGCTTAGGGCTTAGGGCTTAGGGCTTAGGGCTTAGGGTTTAGGGTTTAGGGCCAAGTTTAGGGTTTAGGGTTTAAGGTTTCGGGTTTAAGGTTTAGGGTCTAGGGTTGAGGGCCCTTGAGTTGGCCTAGAATGTTTACGGCTTCAGGGCTTTAGGGCATTCAGGGGGTCGAGGGTGCTTAGGGCATTCAGGGGTTGAGGGCTCTTAGGACTTAGGTGATCAAAAATGGCTGTCCTGTAGCTCTGACGACCAAGCCCAAGCGCAACTGGTCTCACCTGTACATTCATGATGCCAACCTGACTTCGCAAGAAGCAGTGCTGTCTTTGCATCTGGCTGTGCATTGAACCCTGAAACCTAAACCATAAACCATAAACCCTAAACCCTGAACTCTGAACCCTCAACCCTAAACCCAAGGCGTACGGTTGTCACTCTAAGCTCTGCTCCAGGGGTCCACACTTGGCAGTCAGAAAAGGATTCTTCAACCTGACAGGGTGTATATATATATATATGTTCTCAGATGTATGTCTATGTACAGACAATATATATATATATATATATGTATACATAATTTATGCATTATGGGGGGATATACCTAAGAACTTGTACATAAACTCCACTCCCCAAGCCCTGCCCATCATTAACACGAAATGCCTGGAGCGACCGAGCGACCTTCTTCCCAACTGCCCGCGGTGTCCGCCATTGGTGCCACCCGACCTGCAAGCACGCAAGGGTTCGGGCAAACCCTAAACCCCAAACCCTAAACCCTATAGACCCTAAACCCTAACCCTAAACCCCAAACCCGAAACCCTAAACCACAGCTTTTCTTGGGAAGATTTGAGGGCTTAGGGCTTGGCAACGGAGGCCCCGGATTCGGACGTGCCAACCAATAACTTTAGGCCGTAAGTAGGGAATTAGGGAATAGGGTCCTGAGCCCTAAGCCCCAAGCCCTACAAATTCCTACAAGACCCCAAACTTCCCAAACCCTTAGCCCGAAAAAAAACCCACCCTTAACCTCGAACCATAAAACGCAAATCACCAAGGCTCTAAAGCCACACCCCGACTCCTCCTTAACCATAAACCAAACCTCCCCAAAGCCTAAACCCAAACCCCCAAACCCCCCAAACTCTCCAAACCCCCAAACCCCCTAAACCCTAAACCCTAAACCCTAAACCCTAAACCCAAAACCCAAAACCCAAAACCCTAAACCCTAAACCCTAAACCCAAAACCCAAAACCCAAAAAACCCTAAACCCTAAACCCTAAACCCTAAACCCTAAACCCTAAACCCTAAACCCTAAACCCTAAGCCCGAGGCGGCCTTCCAAATGAGCATCGTAAGTGGCCTCCTTGGAAGGCCTGGGGCCAGACAGGGTTTAGGGTTTAGGGTTTAGGGTTTAGGGCTTAGGGTTTAGGGTTTAGGGTTTAGGGTTTAGGGTTTAGGGTTTAGGGTTTAGGGATTCGGGTTTCGGGTTTAGGGGTCTTAGGGTTTAGGGTGTAGGGCTTAGCGTTTAGGGTTTAGGTTTTAAAGGGTTTAGGGACGAGGGTTTCGTTGGGGCTCAGGGTTCTTTAGGATAGAGTAGTTTAGGGCTGGGCCTGAGGTTTCCATGACATCTGTGAGGCTGGCCCGCCGGCTTTGTTCTAGGAAGCCGGCCCACGAAGCACGAAGCTTTAGGGTCTCGGGTTTAGGGTTCAGGGTTTAGGGTTTAGGGTTCAGGGTTTAGGGTTTAGGGTTTAGGGTTCAGGGTTCAGGGTTCAGGGTTCAGGGTCGACCTGAACCCCTCGAACACCTAAGCCCTCGGCAGTTTTGAGATTTAGGTTCGAGGCTGGGTTGCATGCTTCGTTCAAGATACCTAACCCACCCTATCAACCCTACACCCTGAACCCTAAACCCTAAACCCTAAACCCTAAATCCTAAACCCTAAACCCTAAACCCTAAACCCTAAACCCTAAACCCTAAACCCGAAACCCGGCACCCACGCAAAAGAAAGAAAGGGTTGAAAAAAGGGGCCCACTGGGCTCCTACACTCGGAGTCCTTCACAAGCTACTATTTGCTTAAGGACCCCCCCAAAAAATGATAAATATAAATATAAATATATATATATATATATACATTCCTTGTAAGGGTTGATATAGAGAATGTAATCTTTAACTTTTGGGGCTTGCGTGCTGGGCACCTCCCACATCCCAGCATCGCGAGGCTTTGGGTTTAGGGTTTAGGGTTTAGGGTTTAGGGTTTAGGGTTTAGGGTTTAGGGTTTAGGGTTTAGGGTTTAGGGTTTAGGAAGTTTAGGAAGTTTAGGAAGTTTAGGGTTTAGGGTTTAGGGTTTAGGGTTTAGGGTTTAGGGTTTAGGGTTTAGGGTTTAGGGCTGAGGGTTTAGGGTTTAGGGTTTAGGGGGCTTCGGGGTTGAAGGTTTAAGGGTTTTAGGGCTCTAGGCCTGGGGCTAGGGGCAAAAGGGGAGATCTGGGAGCTGAGATTCAGGTGGGCGTCCTGCCCTAAACCCTAAACCCTAAACCCTAAACCCTAAACCCTAAACCCTAAACCCTAAACCCTAAACCCTAAACCCTAAACCCTAAACCCCAAACCTGCCTGTTGTCGTCCTCCCAGTCTTCGATCTGGTCCTCCTCCTCAAATTCCTCAATCTTATCCTGGCCATCTGGAAAGAGGCTTAGTTGTCCAGTACCTAGGCGTTTTAAAGGTTAACCTTGGGGATTATGAGGGGAATATATTACCACAAAAAGGTTAAAGGTTACCGACTCTACTACTAGGGAGGTCCCTCTTCAAAAATGCTTTGGAACCCTATATGGGGAATATTAAGGGTCAGTATCAACTGCCATGTTATCCCTGGGGGCTCCAGCACCCCAGATTTGTGACTTTGGGGCCCAAATACCCTTAGGATGATCCCACACCTAAAACGTGCACACTGGGCTATTTTCCCCAAGCCTGAAACCCTGAAAGCTCGCAGGTGGAACCATGGGCCCTGAGCATGGTCCCTGGGTTTAGGGTTTAGGGTTTGGGGTTTAGGGTTTAGGGTTTCCCTGGGTTTAGGGTTTAGGGTTTGGGGGTTTAGGGTTTGGGGTTTAGGGTTTAGGGTTTAGGATTTTGGGTTTACCCGTCCTCATAGGGATCCGAAGTATGGGCCCTTATTCGATAACGTGTGTGTATATATATATGTGTATATGTATATATATATATATACACATATTTTTTTTGATAGATGGGGGGGTTTGCGAAATTAGGGGTACAGTGACAGCACTGATTAAGAAATCATTGGATTAAGAAACGAGCATGCTCGCGGCTGGATCCCGGATTAAAAATGCGAAAATTGAGAGCAAGACAAAATTAAGAAATCGAGGGTACCCTCATCCTGGGCCCTAAACTTCTTAAATTTGGTTGTTTTTGGCAACCGCCGAATGAAAAGTCTCCCCCACCCCCTCAAATAAGAAACTCAGCCCCTCGATTTCTTAAATTTAAGAAATCCAGCCCCTCGATTTCTTAAATTTCAGAAATCCAGCCCCTCGATTTCTGAAATTTAAGAAATCCAGCCCCTCGACTTCTTAAATTTAAGAAATCCAGCGCCTCAATTTCTTAAATTTAAGAAATCCAGCCCCTCAATTTCTTAAATTTGGCGGGTCCCTACCCCGCGCCGCCCTTTCGAATAAGAAATCCAGCCCTGAATTTCTTAATTTGAGGGGTTTTTGGGTCCTCCCGCCCCTCAAATAAGAAATGCGGGTTGAAACTCTTAATTTAGGTGGTTTTTTCTTAATTTGAGGGGGGGAATTGGGATGGACCCCAAATTTAAGAAATCGAGTGGCTGGATTTCTTAAATTTAAGAAATCGAGGGGCTGGATTTCTCAAATTTACGAAATAGAGGGGCTGGATTTCTTATTTTGGTGGGGTGGGGGGGGCGGAAAATAAGAATTTCACGGGGGGGGGGGGGGGTGGGGGGGGGGGGGGGGGGGGGGGTGGGGCGGGACCCCAAAACCCTCAAATTCAGAAATTGAGGTTAAGGATTCGAGAGGCCGGATTGCCGATTTAAGGGGAGCCCCCAAAAAAGAACTTGATCGATCAGCCTAATGGATAAGGCGTCGCCTTACTAATTGACACGTTGCCAGTTCGAGTCATAACTAAGAAACCGAGGGTACCCTCGCCAAAACTTAGAGGTTTCTTATCCAGCGCTGTCACTGTACCTTTTTGGGTGCTTATAGGGCAATCCTACTGTTTTGGGGGGTCTGTATTCGGGGGTCCCCTATCTTCGTAAACGCCCATATAACAAGGGACCCAAATTGAGCACCCAGACTTGGAACCCTAGAAAAGCCCCTAAACCCTAAACCCTAAACCCTAAACCCTAAACCCTAAACCCTAAACCCCTAACCCCTAAACCCTAAACCCTAAACCCTAAACCCTAAACCCTAAACCCTAAACCCTAAACCCTAAACCCTAAACCCTAAACCCTAAACCCTAAACCCTAAACCCTAACCCTGGAAAAGCCCTAACAACCCGCTGAGCGAAGCTCGGCCTCGGGATCTTCCTCCGCAGTGAAGCCGAAGATGGCCTTGCCATCGAGGGTCTACAGGGCTCAGGGTCTTTAGGGTTTAGGGTTTAGGGTTTAGGGTTTAGGGTTTAGGGTTTAGGGTTTAGGGTTTAGGGTTTAGGGTTTAGGGCTTAGAGGGTTTGTACGGGTTTATAGGGTTTGTAGGGGTTTATAGGGTTTATAGGGGGGCTGATAGGGTTGATAGGGTCTGTAGGGTTCAAAGGGTTTGTAGGGTTTGTACGGGTTTATAGGGTTTACAGTTTACTTTAGGGTTGTAGTTTGCCTTAGGGTTTAGAGGGTCTGTAAGGGTTTATAGGGTTTGTGGGAGTTTAGAGGGTTTATAGGGGGGTTTATAGGGTTGATAGGGTCTTTAGGGTTCAAAGAGTTTGTAGGGTTTGTAGGGGTTTATAGGGTTTAGAGGGGTTTATAGGGGTTTATAGGGTTTTATAGGGGTTTATAGGGTTTATAGGGTTTATAGGGTTTCCAGGGTTTGTACGGGTTTATAGGGTTTATAGTCTACTTGAGGGTTATAGTTTGCTTTAGGGGTTAGAGGGTTTGTAGGATTTACAGGGGTTTATAGAGGTTTATAGGGTTTATGGGTTTACAGGGTTGATAGGGTTTCGGGTTTAGAGGGTTTGGCTGGCTCTTAGTAGGGAATGGGGGAATGAGGTACCTTAAAGTGTACAGGGCCCTCATTCCCTCATTCCGTACTAAGAACCAGGGGGTTTTCTTGTGCCCCGTGGTTAGGGATGAAGGCTCGGGATGTAAGGGCAACCTTTAAAAGTTCAGACGCTAAATAGACCCTCAACCTCGACCCAAAACCGAAAACCCTCAACCCTAAACCCTAATAAGGGTTTGCTCCAACTTAGGATCCCTATCAGGGAATCCTTCTTCGAAGGAATCCCCATCTGCAAGGGAACCCTAACCCTAAACCCTAAACCCTAAACCCTAAACCGTAAACCCTAAACCCTAAACCCTAAACCCTAAACCCTAAACCCTAAGCCCTAAGCCCTAAGCCCTAAGCCCTAAACCCTTAACCCAAACCAAACCCCGATAGATACCATGCACAGTCGAACAACAAGCACACTCACACCTCCTAACTCAAGCCCCATAAACGCTAAAGCCCCAAAACATAAACAGCCCAGACCCTAATTCAATCCTAAACCCTAGGCCCCAAATTTCCCCCCCCCACCCCATAAACAGCTCAGACCCTAACTAAATCCTAAACCCTTAACTCTAAACCCTATACAAACCCTAGACCCTCAAAAGCCCCAAACTTCCCCCCAACCAGGAAGTAAAGAAGACAGCGCAAAGCAGGCCTCTGGCGCAGGCTCCTGGCGATTCAAAAGGGCAACCACAACACGGGATGCCGCTAAGCCCCCTTTTACCGTATAGTTGATAACAAAAAAACGGTGCCCAAGATCGGTCTCTATGTTAAGGGGTGGAAGGAGGGACCCCTAGAAGGGACTCGTAATCTTATTCCCCTTTTTGCAACCCCTATACACACACATATATATATATATATATATTACTATTATCATTATTATTATTGTTGTTTTTATTATTATAAAAAAACCCTAAGGTCCCTTATAAGGGTCCCTCCTGTAGTCCATCCTTGAGTCCCTTGAATATGTCCCTTACAAACCCATGGGAATCTTGAATATGTTCCCAGAAGGACCTTTAGATCAACCCCCCCCAATAGAAACTCTAAACCCCTGAAGCTAGAATGCTAACTTTGAGAAGATCAGGGACTCGGAGCTGACATGGGTATTCCCCGAAGTAGGGGTGTCCATTTTTGGCC